CATGCTTGGGAGGGTGGAGCGACAGCACAGGAGAAGAAGGCCCTCTATGAGGTGGATTGATTCAGTGACTGGGATAATTGGGATGGGAGTGTCAGAGACGGTGCGATTGGCACAGGACAGAGCGGAGTTTAGGGTTGTTGTACATAGGGTCGCTATGAGTCGTAGGCGACTCGACGGTACATAACAACAACAACAACAACAACAACATTTGTTTATTCTTTACTTCATCTATAATCTATTTTAAGAATAAATAAAATAAAACTTAACTTGCCATTAAGTAGTTATTTTGTTATTATTGTATAAAGTCTGAGTCCAAAGATCTCTTTCTCGATCCTTGATGAAAACAATGCACTGATGATTAATTATTTTAAATATTTATCAAAAGGATAGTGGAGGAAGTGAGTTCAACCCATGAAAGAATTCCTCTGGAGACTTCCAAAGAATGTTGCCAATCTGTGCAAGGAATTGTCAGCCAGCTAATCACATGCTTCTGTTTCTCCAGGGAGAAGCTGGCTGTGGCCAGGCTGCAGCGAGAAGTTGCCCAGAGGAGGAGTGAAGGAGCCATGGTGAGTGTTGATGGGACCCCAGTCTGGGGCCTCCCATCCCGAGGTCTCTGCCTCAAAATATTTCATCTCCTTAAAATTATCTCCAGAAAATATTTGCTTACAGCATACTTTATGATGTTTTGGTAAATGATGTGTTTGTAATACAATTTAGACAGTTGAGAAGAAAGAAATATTTTGTGTGTGTATATATGAGAGAGAGAGACTGTGTATGAGTGTGTAAGAGAGAAATTGAGTGTGTATGAAAGATTGGGTATGTAAGAGAGAGATTTGGGTGTGCATGAGAAATACTGGGCATGTGCTTGGGGATAAAAGAGACAGGGAAGGAGGTGTGGAGGAGAAAGACAAGAGTGTGTGTGTGTATGTGTGTGTGTGTGTGTGTGAGAGAGAGAGAGAGAGAGAGAGAGAGAGAGAGAGAGAAAGAGAGAGAGACTTGGTTCTGAAGAGGATATTTCAAGCATTCTTTGGCTTTGTTTGTAAATGCTGCATATCTAGGCTTCTGACTGTTTATACAAATTTCATAAATGAAGAATCTTAGATTCTCAGATGAAGACTGTGGTACCTATTTCATGTTTCTCATTTCTTCTAACCTAAAAAAACTCAAATAGTTGAAAGATCATCAGATGTTTGCTGAAGTAATCCTTCCTCTTTTGTCCTCTCCTTTCCACTGTTTTCAGGCTCTTTCTTTCAGCCCTGCTTTAGTTCCACCATTAAAAAATGAATGTTTCCTTGGGAGGTGAATTGTACTGAAAATCATTGTGACTGGCTCAAAGCAGCTTCATTTTGTTGACTGTCTTTGTTAAAATGTCTACCTGTATGTGGCTCCTGTGTTGGAGATGGGTGTCTGATCACCCCGGGTGTTGCTGACATCGCTAAAATTAAACTTTAACATGAAGGTCCCCCACTCATTATGATCAAACAAAGGTATATATATATGTGCAATTTTTATCAGCAGATTGCATTATGAGAACCCGAGTTGAATTTTTTTTGCATAGACTTTTTTTTTTAAAGTTCCCTTTAAAAATATTTTAGAAGTATATCTCAGTATAGAAAAATACTAAAGTACTCAGGAAATGAAACAAGTAAAAGATTTATTCTAATTCGTGGAAAAAGAACTCTGGAAAGTTATCATTCTTTTATTACTTTTATTCTAATGATAGTTATAAAAATATATTTCTCTATTGATTTTTCATTCATTTATTGAGAACCTACTATGTGTCTAACACTTCTTGGCACTGGATCAACATGTGAACAAAGACACAAACATCTGAGCACTTAAATTAAATGTTAGTTGCTGGATTCTGCAGTGATCAAGAAAAGAGCAAATAAAAAGGCATGAGGAGTCGGAGAGTATCATGTTAAGCATCACATGACCTGTGAAAGTTGGAAAAAGAAAAAGGAAGACTGAAAAAAAAAATGATACTTTGAAGTGTAGTGCTGGCAAAGAAGTTTTACTATACCGTGAAATGCCAAAAGAACAACAAAAATCTGTTTTGGAGGAAGGATAGGCAGAATGCTCCTTAGAAGCAAAGATGGTGAGACTTTGTGTCACATACCTTGGACGTGTTAACAGGAGAGACCAATTTCTGGAGAAATACATGAGGCTTAGTGGGTTTATACATAGTGGCTGTTGTAATGGGTTTAAGGACAGTGGAGATTATAGCGATGGTATATAATTGGACAGGATTTCATCCTATTATATGTAAGATGAGTCAAAATAAACTCAACAACATGGTAGTAAATCACTGACAAGTAAACATTTGAGCAAAACCAATGAAGGAGGAACAGTAAACTATGGGTAAATTCTCAGCCCTGCATCAATACGCAACAGCATTGATGGAGAAGAGATTGAAACTGTCAATGGCATCATCTTACTTGGATCCACAATCAACAACACCCTTGGTACCAGCAGTCAGGAGAACAGGAGATGTATTGAAGTAAGAAAGTCTGCAGTCAGGGACTTCTCCTAATCATTGAGGAACAGTGATTTTAGTTTGAGGACGAAGGTGCACATGATTCAGGCTATGGTCTTTTCAATCATTTGATGTGATCTGAGAACTGGACAATGAATAAGGGTGACCGAAGTACTGATACCTTTGAGCTGTGGCATTAGAGAAGAGTACGGAATATCCTGTGGACTGACAAAAGAACAAACAGAAAAGTCTTGGAGAAGGTGCAGCCAGAGTGATCCTGGGAGGCAAAGGTGATAAAACTTTGTGTCACATGTTTTGGGCGTGTGACAAGAAGAGGCTGTTTCCTGGAGAGGGACATCGTGCTTGGAAAGGTAGGAGAACCAGGGAAAGAGAATAACCTCATCCAGGCGGATTGACGCAGTGACTGCAGCAATTGGCTCTAGTATGTCAGAAATTGTGAGACTGGCACAGGATAGGCAGGGTTCAGATTTGTTGTTTATAGGGTGGCTATGACTTATTGGCACCCAAACAACCATGTGGGTATATCTGGGAAGATCCTTTCAAGCAAGAGGACTCTAGCCAATGCCATGGCCAGAGGGGCTAAGGAATGATGTGGGCATGAGGGTGACTGGAAGGGATGAGACTATAGAGGCTGAGAGAAATGGTGGGGACAAAAAGGCAGATCATCAAGGTCCCCAGGGTTGCTTCTCTGCATGACAGGAGTCACTGTTAGGCTGTTAGAAAGACATGTGATTGAATTCAACATTATGCTTATTGCTGTTATTTTTTCTTACTCCATAATTTATGACATCTCAATTCCTTAGGCATAGCATAAACCTTGAGTTTTATTGCTAATTTCCTTTATTTTATTTTCTCCCTTCTATCTCAGTAACTTTTCCTCCCTTATTCAAATCCCTTTGAGTTTTCTATTTAATTATTAACTTTAGATTTTCTGCTCCATGAATTCATTTATATCTGAAGTTCTGATTCTCTCAGTATCTGACATCTTCTGAAATCTGACAGTTCTATTAATCCTCTAAATTTAATTCTTGCTGTTAGAAGCCCAGACTTTTGTCATGTCTACCGTAGAAATGAAGAACAGTTTTTCACAAGCAGATCACCCTGTGCTTGTAAAGGCTTCTATTTACAGCACTTTAACCCATTGCCATAGTCAATTCCTACTCACAGCAACTCTGTAGACAGAGCAGAACTCTCTTACAGGGTTTCTGAGACTGTAAATGTTTAGGAAGCAGATTACCTCTCTTTGTCCCTATGAATGGCTTTTGAATTTTAACCACCCACCCTTTGCTACTATGAAAGGAAAAATGGGACAGACACAATTACATAAGATATCTTTTCTAAAAGAGAGATATTATTAAACTAATGTACACTAATTTTAAAGTATTTTAACAAACCTGCTATAAATTGGTCCTAAATGCAGAAAAAAACTAGTTTTGTACTTAAAAATAAATCTTTAGTCATTGTAAGTTTTAAAATGGTACCCAAGGAATTATTTGGAAAATTTATTTTTTTATAATACATTTTCCCTTTAGAATGATTTTAGAATTACAAAAATGCCCCAAATGTGCATACACCTTAATTTGCCCTACTTTTAAGCTCTTATGTAACTTTGAGCATTATCCAACCAAAGAAATGAACACCAGGATATTACTATAAACTAAACTCTATTTTTTTAGGCTTCTCCTGTTTCCACCACTTGTCTGTGTCCCTCTTCTATTCTAGGGTCTGGTCCAGGCTACCACAGTGCATGTAGAGAGAGAACTAGCTGTTGCATGGATGCAGGCATGAAAGGAACGTGATGTGGGAGACAGTGAGGTCTCCATTCCACCTGTAATTTAATTGTCCCTTCAGATACATCACTTAACTCGTTTCCATTAGTTCTTTAGGCTCCTTCATTCTGCTGTTTCATAGTTTCTTTTTTGAAAAAGATTTCTTTTAGTTCATTAGAAGTTTTATGTCTATTTTATTTGTTCTTAATTTCTTCTTCCAGAAAGTAATTCTCTCCACTGATATTCCTATTTTTACTTTTTTTTTTTATTTTTAGCAAATGACTAAGTGTGGTTTTGTTGTTTGTTGTTGTTGTGTTGTTTTGTTTTGTTTTTTTTCCTTTTCTTCCTGCTGTCTTGGAGATTGTTTCAGCTTGTCTTCTGATGTAGCTAATTTCAAAGTCGGTACTGTCAGTAAGTGTTTTTTTTTTCCCAATTGTAAAAATGTAAGTAACACAACAGCTGCCTGCTCAGTATTTTTCACTTGTGTGGTTCAATGAAACCAGTTGATTGTGTTGTGGAGCAATGATCAGCATTCACAACCATATTTTCCATTCTCATAAACAGAAACTCATTTCTATTTGAGTGAAGATTTACTCCTTTTTCCTTTATATCACTCATGTAAACACTGTTCAGTTCAGGTTTCTGTACACTTGCCTGTTCATATGTGAGATCATCAGGATTTGCCTCTATGTAATGGACGTATTTCCCTCAGCACAGTATCACTAAGGGTCATCCACGCTGTGCCACGTGCCCAGGCTCCACTTCTTCTCACAGTAGAGTGCTATCCCATTGCTTGCATAAACCGTGTTGTCTACTCATTTGGCCGTAAGCATTGGGGTTGTTTCCATCCCTTGGCAATAATTGCTTGCGAAGCAGTCATCATTTTGTGTGCATGTGTCTGTACATTACTGCTTTCAGCTCTCAAGTAAACAGCTAGAAGTGAGATTACTGGGTCATATGCTGGCTCTTTTTAGTGTCATATTAAGTGAAAAAGACTACCCTTTATCATGAGTATAACCATGTTCTTATCATTGTCTTTAAGAATTTGGATGTTGTTGTTGTTGTTAAGTGCTGTTGAGTCACGACTCATAGCGACCCTATGAACGAAGGTCCTGGACACCTCCTGTATAACTTTCGTCCTTTTTCCAGGTTCATGGGTTTCCCAAGGCAAGCTATTGTGGAAGCGAATGCCACTCCTGCTTCCAAGCTTGTTTTAATCGAAGAGCTTCACCAAACACTGTCCACCATGGGTAACCATTCTTGAATTTGACTCATCAGTACCACAGTGTTCGGCTTCACA